TCGTTACACAGGAGTGTGGCGCCGAGTCGATCCGCTTGCGTATGGCGGCCGCGTTGGCGCTGCGGTTGCAGCCCTCGCTGGAGCGCTTGATGGTCCATACCCGCACCTGGAGAAGATATGGAAGCTGATGGTAAGTTCCTTATTCCTGAAGAGCAATTGCTCTGATCACTGACCAAGTGCTGCTGGTTGCAGAAGAACGAAGCTGGTCGGACACCCCCTGTAAGGACAGAGAGCTTTTCCGAGGCGAGTCTTTGCTAAACGGATTGATGCAGGACTCGCTTTTCGGGAAGCTTATGATTGACCGTTCAAAATGCGCCCAGGCGGAACAGCTGACCGGTCGTCTCAAAGGTCAGGGAACTTACGAATCCGTGAGGGGTTTCGGATAGTTCGAGCAATTAACCTTCTAAGCAAGCCATATCATGGACAGTGAAGGCGCTCCGTGGGACTGAGTTAGGGTCACAGCCAGCAGATGTCGATCTCCTCTTAGGAAACCAGACTCCCCCTGGCCTGAACAGCACCGAAGTCCTTAAGGTTTTCCGCATGCAAGAACGGTGCTATTTTACCAATAGAGTGCAGCTTCAGCAAATCCTCTCTAACGGTATCGGTCAAGACGAGTCGCATCTCGTCCTTCATGAAGAGTCAATAAAAACTTGTCACCCACGGAAACTGAGGCGATTATCAGCAGCCCACCACCTCTTCACAAAAGCGACGGTTTGAGGAGAGCCAAAAAGAAAGCAAGACAACTTAGCGAAATAAAGTGCGCAATCGTCACCGTGCAGTTGTTGGTAAGTTGAACTCTGGCAATAAAGTACGATCGCGAAGGCCGCGAGCAAATTTTGCGGCGGCGGGCGCGGCTGCGGCAGCTTTCAAGCAGAAGCCCATCCTCAGGATCTGACATATTCCCTCTTTTGTATGCATGCAGCACAGCGAGAAAGCGTTTCGTCCCAACCCGGTCCGAAGTGGGATTAAACTGAAATCATTTGTCCGACCCCGGTCCGAAAGCTTCAGACCATGTTCACACATGCCGGGATGTCCGAAAATGGTACGAATCGGGTCCGAAGCAGATCCGATTTGGATCCGAACTAGGCCTGCGCAACTCCGGACCTGCTTCGGATCCCTTTCGGATCGCGTCCAGACAGAAAAGAACATTTTGGACCTGTCCGAACCAAGTCTGAACGTGTCTAATTTGGACAGAACTTCTGGTCCGAAGTGAGTCCAGACGTGGTCCGATCCTGGTCCGGATCTGATTCGAACCTTTGTATCTATCTTGCAGCACCAGTCTCGACCATGTTCGAAACGGGTTCGAACCTGTCCAAACTCCGCCGGACCTGTTCAAACTCCGTCTGAACCGCGAATCAATTCAGATTGACTTCGGACCCAATTCGGACAGGAGATTTCTCGCAGTGATTTGGCTGCGGAAGCAGCCCCTACGCGCTCCGCAAAAGCTGCATAATTTGCTTTCCTTTTGCTTCTGATGACGTGGAACGTTTGTCGAAACGAAAAGTGGCTTCTTGGGATCCGGACGTTGTGTGCACCCGGGGCGCGGAATTGCCCCGGGATTCGTCGCCGGAAGGACTGCAGAAAGAACGGCAAGTCTGAGAGAGGTTGCTCCGTTGAACCGGCGGTTCGAAATCTGGCAAAATTGCTGTTACCCCTGGGTAACAGTAACTGGGCTGTCCATGATTTTCGGTCGTGCTTTAGCATGTGCCTCCGCCGGCCAGCCGTTGTTCACCGTAAGGGAAACTCCAGGGCTCTTTTGTCCTGCGGTTGAGAGTATGTCGGAGTATAAGTAACGGTCAAACATTCAAGAGCAGAAAAGGGAAGCGGACTCCGAAGCGGAAGCGGACGCGGAATCGAAAGCGGAAGCGGCGAGGATGCGACACCGTTCGACCGGGTGCGGGTAACAAGGCTGTGGTCGCAAATGGGGTAGCATCGAATCAGAGGGCTTCGTCAACAGATGCATAATCCATTGAAGACCTCCAAACGCACCGCCAGAGGCTGCTAACTTTCCTCGCGTTGCTTTTGGAACGACCGTCCTGAGGCGCAGACGGGCAAGCCGGCAACAAAGGCACGGCAAGTAGGGTTGATAGAGTCAATCGTTTTTTTTGAAGGCAAAAGCCAAACCGGTTCCAACCGGTTTTACACGAGGCACTCGTGGCGGGCGAGGCTGCAAGAAGAACTAGCGGTCGGGTGGAGCGCGAGGCCATGTGGTGGTTTAGTGAAACGAAGTATCAAGGGCTGGTCTTCTGTGCGGAGCTGGCTGACCGCTGTAGGCGTCGGTCGCGCGGCCGCGGAGGCGCTGCGTGCGAGCGGGATCCAGAGACTGGAGGCTTTGGGCACGCACGAGTTTCATGACTCGCTGTAGCTCATCATCCGTTAACTTGGAACGAAAAATGGTGTTAGGCGTGCACGCGGCCGCGAGGTGCAGTTGCGCGCGAAGAGGGAGACTCTGGCGCTTTCGGAAAACGCGTGTCTCTGCAGGGGTTGGAGTTTTGGCCAGCCGGGGAGGCAACTGAATGGACGAGCGGCTCAGATTGGCCTCGGCGACGGCCACGCTTCATGGGTGAGATCAGTGCTTGGGTGAGACGCCGGATGGGCGGACAAGACGCCGAACGGCGTCTTGGAGACGTCATCATGGAAAGATCCCCAGGTTCCTAGCAAGCAAACAGAGAGAACGAGTACCGGAAAGGATTGAAGACTCCCAGTTCTTACCGCGGAGCGCCGGTCCAGGATGCGCGGTCCAAACTAGCTGCGCTGCAGACTTTACACGTTGAGTTTGGGACGACTCCGTTACCCAGAAGCTTTGGGGCCAGCTCGTTGGCTTGACGTCATTCGCGTGGGCGCGATCATGAGAAGCCTGCTCCCTGCGCTTTGGCGCTCGGAGTTCGCGCGCCTTGCGCGCGCGCCAAAGCAGCAGCCCAATGGGTCCGTGCCCACAGGAGTGAAGTCTAAGCGCGAGGTTTCGACGCCTGCGAGGTGCAAGTTGAATGCCCGGGACACGTGTTCATTTGGAAGCACCTGGACAGGTGGAGCCTTGAATCGAATACCGGAGCTCGGTTCGCTGGGCGCTCGCATGCCCGGTGCCAAGAAAACCGTCTAGAAGAGTTCCACTAACTTGCAAGGCAAGAAATCTGATAAACCGGCAAATTAACCGGCCGTCAGGGGGCCGTCAGAGCAATCTACCACGTAACAAAGAGCTTTATGGAGCAGCCTTGCTTTTCTGGAAGCGCATCTATACCAACCCTGGCGAAGCTGGGTTTTTGAGTCCTCCTCGTTAAACTTCGACAGCCTTCGATTCAGAGTCTCATCATAATCAGGCCCGGTTACCGTGACTCTGTCGGTACTACCGCGAGTGATGACGTCACCTCATGTAAATACAAATGGACCGCGAGTCCATGGGAAAGTAGGGCAAGGCAAACTAATGTGGGAGCGCTCCGCTTCCAAGTACTGTTGGGCTTTGCACCACTTCCCCTTTGAGAGCTGGCGATCATCGAGGCAGAAATCGACCGAGCTCAAGATTGTAAATCAAAGTAACGATCCTTGCAGCCGGGCGTTAAGAAAGGACTGGCTTGACCAACATTCTAGAGTGAAACGAAATCTTCGATGCCGCCGCAGATCAGATATCAATGGATACCCCCGGGAACATTTCTTCGTGGCTGGAACACGTCTTTCTTCGATCTCCTGTTGCGAAGAAGCACAGCACCCATCTCTTCCAATGCCTCGGGGCGTGGAACAGGGCGGAATCCGCGACAAACTTCCTCGGATGAATTCCGAGGACGCAACCGCCGCAAAACGGTTCGTAGACCAGCTACGAGAATTCCACTTTCAAGCCCGCTTGAGGAACTTGTATGCCGAGTCATGCCAAGGAGTGCTGTGCAGATCTTGGAACCTTGAAAGCCTGTCTCTACCATGACATGAGGATGCACCGCGAGACCACCGTCTCAGGCTCCTATTTCCCTTTTTGTTTCTATCACACTTCTTCTAAATTTTCTAGGGCTGCGAGAAAGGTGTCCCTGATTTCAGCCGTCTGCAAAACGCGCGACCTGCTTGCAGAAATGGCGGCCAAGTCGTCGCTCATTGGTCTCTTCGGCCTACTCTGTCTCGTTCTACGAAATGTAGAGGTAAGGAAAAACTGGTGGTGATCACAAGCAGCTTTTAATGCAACTAAGAGAACCTACTTTTTGACGCTCGTTCCTTCCAAATTTTCTTGCTCTCATGATTCTCTTTCATGTCTAGTAATGAGAGATTTCCTGCCCAATGACTCGCGCGTGCAGACTGACAAATTGATCGTCATTTTGCTTTTAGACCCGAAGAAGAAGACAAAGTGATCGTCATTCTGTTTATAAACTCAAAACAGAATATGTTAACATCCGATTGTGTGTTTATTGTCACCTATATTGGCCATCCAGTAGCTTTCTTCAGCTTCTTTTCAATGACCTTCCGAAGCCCCGGTGTAATCTGAGTAGCAAAATTTTGAGATCTCAAAGCACTTTGAAGAGGGCTGCCACAGCTGAAACTAGCCTTTACAGATCGGATATGATTCATTCTGCCGTGATCAGCGGCCGTTTCCGACTTCGACGTCAAAGTTGAGTTTCCTGTACAATGCGTCTTAGTGAATGATCGACACACGTTTGTCCTTCCAAGCTCAGGTGTTTGCAATGTCTGCGGAAGAAGACTCCGGTTCCGTCGTCCCGCTGACGGAAGTCCGGTTCCGTGGCGAAACTACCGCAGTCGCCCACCGGAAGCTGATGCAAACTCTGTCACCAACGCAGACGTCAGGTGAATCCACAACGACCTTCATGGCAGCATTGAAACTAGACTCAGATGAGCGACTGCTGGGAAACTAAGGGACTTTTAGAATATACGAAGTCCTCTGAAAATGACCAGCTTGGACTCTGATTATCGAAGCACTTGAGCTTAGCTTCCGGTGGGCGTGTGCAGGTACGGTTGCGTCCTTGTGCTTGCCTCGTGACGCGTCAATGCCAGCAAACCCGCTGACCCAAGTATACTGTTCCTACAACGTGACGACCAGTGGTGCCCCCGCCACTTCACTAACGGTCTGCACGTACAACGCAACCGGTGTTCTCGTTAGCATGTTTCCGACGGCCCCTGTCCCTGGAGAAATTCTACCAACACGCCCCGCGGTCTCCTGCCCAGGTGAGAACAAGCGCCGTTTTGGTTTCGAACAGAAACGGACTAAACCTCTTTTTGACCGATGTAGTGAAGGCGACCTGACCGGCTATATTCCACTTTGGCACGACAACCTAGACGTCATTTTGATTGGAGAAACCGGATGCCCGCCCTGGAACCCCAAATAGGTAAGAAGTGCGGAAGGTTGTCCTTACGGGGATCAAGCGTAGAGCAGGGTTTTGAGTGGATCTAGAAGGCGTTGAATTGAACGTTGGATCCGTTGAGTCCACCGAGAAACTTATTTTGGTACAAAACAGCACAAAGAGAATAGGGGAACCCAAGCTTGCTCAAACAAAGCGGGCATACGATCTTCGGCAGTCTCTGCAATGCTAGGCTCAAGCAAGTTTTTGAAATACCAGGGGGTTGCACAGGAATCCGCGACTTGAAGCCGCAGCTCTTAATTCCGATCGCTTTTAGTGCGCCCGTGGCAGGAAGATGCGATCATTCAGCACTCTGGTCCTCGCTCCTTGTGGGTGTGATCTCTATACTAACAACCACTCCAATTGAAAGGTCTCAACGCAATTTAATGTTGAGGAGCGATCTGGTTTGCATCTCTGTCGTTTCGGGAATCAACGCTGATTTACAAGATCTTCCAAGTTGTTCTCCTTAGGACTCCTATATATGTATAATACAGCGACTACCTCGCTTTGATTGAACGCTCGAAAATGGCATCAGTTCTTTGCAGGAAGTACCGTCCCCAACTCTTGCCCCGCGTTGGTTCAGCAAAACCTTGCGGACGCAAGAGCATTTCTGCAGCAGACTCTGTGCGCTTACGCCGGAGCCGTATCAAGCCTGCTTTGCGCTTACAACGCGACTGGCGCGTCAATCGGGAGCAACGGCCGCAACTGCCCAAGTGAGCGCTGCTTTCATTGCAAAGGACATTGACTAAAAGCTCCAATTTTCATCGTATGTGACTTTCTTGAATGTCACCAAACGGAAAATTGCTTTCCCAAAGTCTAGTCGCTACTGTGTGTCAGGTTCATGATGAATCGAGCCCGAATGGAAGCATTTGAAAGCCAGCCCAGATGGCCAATGAATACCATACGGATAAAGCCCGTCT